CCTCTGGTACTATAGACCCAGCCAACTCCCTGTGGCAGGGGAGAATATAGGCTCCAGTGGGAAGTCACTGCAACGGCTTTGTTAGATGCAAATGACGCACCTGCTAAAGTACCAACCAAGCATTTGTGTTTACACCCATAGGTTATTACTATAGCAGTCACTGTTTAGATGTTCTTGTTTCTTGCTGTGTGTTTTTTTATAGTAGATGGAATCCCTCTGAAACTGGCCAATAGCCCATGGAAAACAGATGATGCAAAGACCTGAAAGTTCAGTGCCTTGTCACAATGGGTGGAAGATCATTCCACATCTACCACCCCTCCAAGTCTCAAGGACGTTTGCAGAAGAGGCTGGTGGAAAGAATGAGAGAGCCAGAGGAAGGGGTAGAGCGTTAACTGGAAATGTCCTCTGAAGAGTACGCCAGCAAGCTATAGCTACACCTCCTTCCCAAGCTCATCAAGAGTCAAGGGAGGAGTCAGTTACCCCTCCCACCCAATCAGTCCCACTCAGCTGCATGTTGGGGGAGGGGAAAAGGATATATAAGCCACGAACACAAGGAGGCACATCTCTCACCTGTTGGGAGGTCACAGGATTTGTATTTGTGTGTGGACTTCATGGTGCAGCCATAAATGTGGGCACCCACACTTCTGTAAATGAACCCATACCTATGCTTTGTTAAAAGTCACATTGGCTAATATCAAGAGAACAAATGATACCAAATGCGGAAGAAGAAGTGGAGAAAAGGGAATTCTCATTCACTACTGGTGGAATTGCAAACTTGTGTGACCCCTGTGGAAAACACTGTAGAGAACTCTTAAGAAAACTAGAAATGAACCTAACATATGACCCAGTTATACCACTACCTGGTATATACCCAAAGGACCCATCCTATCACAGAGATATTTGTACAACCATGTTTTGCTGTGCTTTTCACAATAGCTATGAGATGGAAGCAACCTAAGTGGCCCTTACCTGACAAGTGGATAATGAAAATGTAGTACATTTACACAATGGAGTTCTACTCAATGGCAAAGAAAGATGAAATCATGAAATTTGCAGTAAATACATGGAACTAGAAACTTTTATACTAAGTGAAGTAACACAAGTTCAGAAAAGCAAAAGATGTATGTTCTCCCTCATTTGTGGGACCTAGCCCTAAATCCTTATATGTGAGTACATATCCTGATGTAACTGCAGGAACCAGGAAAATGGAATAGAACCAGGGAGGTAAAGGGGAAGAAGGAGAAACCAAGAGAGAACAGTAAGAGACAGGTGTTACTAAAGGAGAAATGTGTAAAATGGCGGTAATTAAAGTGGATAGGAGAGGGAGGACTATACAGGGAATTATGGGGATTAAAAAGGAAGAAGATGCTCAAGAGAGGCGGGACCATAGCAGGCAGGAATTATCAAAGAAGAAATGGGAAAAATGGGCACACCTTAAATGTGGAGGGCATGGAGGAAGCATAAGACAAGGTAAGAGAGAGGAGAGATTAAATAATGCCTAGCTAGTATAAAAAACCAGAGGGAAGCATATTAGTCCAAAAATCTACTGATAAATTACACATAAAATATCTTTACATGAGTCTGTGTGTAGCTGGAATACACAAAGACCAGTAGAGTTGCCTAGAAGAATCAGAGACCAAATGCGTGTAGCTGAAGGCTACATAACAAGATCACAAGAAACAGTACCAGAGAGAAGAAATTTTCCTTTGAGTTGTTGGCCAGGGAGGTCCAAGAAACTCCCAAGATTACACAGGAAATGGCCACAGCTTTTGATTGCTTCCCAGAACTTGAATGTAAGTCCATATTTCTGAAGACAGGTTATAATTTGGATGCAGGGTTTGGAGTAATAGAGCTGAAACTGGCCTGGAAGCCACCTCCCCTGAAGGCTAGCTCTCATAACTTTGGAGAGCACTACACAAGTGGTTAAGGGAGAGCATCAATTGATGGTTCGATCCCAGCTTCAAGGCCTAAAACCGGCATCAACAACCAACAAAACTAACAACATTGGTGTAGTAGTGGCACTTTTATCTTGGGGGTAATAAATAGCTACCTGATTATACTTAAAGCCCACTCAATGGCAAGAAACTCATGTGTGGTACTGTAAACCTAGCCAAATACACATAGCGGGAGAGGTCATAGATCTTAGAGAAAACCCCACGGTTCTCACATTCCTAGACAAGTATAATTTCTTACTATATGCAAAATATGCATCTTTAAATTTACAAACAAATATCCCAGTCACCACCCATCAAAAAAGCTTCTTTTTCAACAGAGATTATATTACAGAGTTCCACAACTGGTGGAACAGAGATTGTCACTGAATTGCCCAATCCTAAGTGGCACATCTATAGTGCAACCTCTACAATAAGGAACAGAGAACAAGGGATGAAGAAAATACTAATGCATCTTTCAGTTTTCACAAATGAAACTCTACCATGCAAGAGAGGTCCCAGAAAACAAAAGATCACAAATGGTCAAAACATAGAGAATAACAGCCTACAGAGTGTGGGTCATTGGAGAGGATTCCTACATTAAAATCCACCCAACCGGGGCTTAGGGACCACCACAGAAGAGGGGACGGAAAGGCTGTAAGAGCCAGGGAACAGATGCATGACCTCTTGGAAGTAGAATCTTACAGACTCCTGGGACTTACAGAAACCTACAGCAATGGTGTCAGCATGCACAAGACCCATGCAATCTCAAGTAGACAAAAACTGAGCACAGAACTGTGGAAATGGACAGCAGGCCCCAATCTTAGTCAAAGAATTACTGATAGCTGATTACTGCTGGGTGAGGAAGAGCCGATCTTCTTAAAGGGAGGGACTCTAGATAGGCTGACTAGACCTCAGTGGATGAACTTCCACTGTGGGACATCTGGGGACACTAACTTGACATGATAGGCCTTAAAAGAAATGAGAGAATGTATAAATTCAAGTGAGGGAGATTGGGAGGGGGCCAATGTGGAAAGGGATACAATGATGATTATAAATATTAACAATGATTGCCTAAACATGACCTGCATAAGGACACCATCAGTTGACATGTCATTGTGGATAAAGGAAATTTCACAAGGTCCTACATCTGCATGAATAGCTATAGACAATCAATGGCTACTAAGAGAAAAAAAAGAGGAGTTTTCTTCAGAGTCAAGTTCCCTGACAGGTTATCCAAATCTAAGTGGTGAGCCCTAAACAAATGTACATACAAGAATCACTAAATGGAGCCAGTAGATTTTAATGTATGCACACATATACATATCTGTGTAAAAAATAATAATGAGTCAATAAATTGAGAATGAGTGGGAGTGGTTTGGGAAGACTTGGAATAGGGAGACAGGGGCATGGAAATGATGTAATATGAAATTCTCAAAGAAAAAGTCTCTAATTTTTCAGAGGAGGAAATTGAGACATATGAAGACTTTGTTTTCCCATGATAAACTTCAGGAGGATATAATTTTGGCAGAGAAAATGGAGAAAAATGATGGGGGTTAGGGACAGAGAGAAGCTGCCTATGGTGGGGGACCTCAAGGCCTGCTATGATGGGTTTTATTCTTGAACATCACTTGCCTGTTTTCTAGACACTTGCTGTCCAGGTTCTAATAAAGGAAGTGAACAGTGAACACAGTGGCCTTCTTCTTTTCTCCTTATATCTGACAAGAAGAACTCAAGCCTCTATATGAAAGACCAGCCTTTGTCTCTGGATACGCTCTCTTTAGCTACCTCAGGCTAGCCCAGACAACTGCTTCCCTTCTAGCACCTTCAAAGCTGCTTTCTTTCACAATGTTGGATAAATCAGCTTTTCATTGAATAACAACTCAGAACAAAAAAACTTTATGGTCTTCAACTTGTTGGTTTCTGAACTATTAAAATTTCTTTGGTCTAGGTCTAGGAAAGTAAAGGGGGGCTTTGGTTTGCTGTTCTCCACTTCACTGGGATATTTTGTTTGTTGTCTGAAATAGGGAAGGGGTGAAAACTTCCTAACACACAGTGTCACCTGATCTAGTTTGTTTATCTCTCCACTGATCGTACCCAGCAAGGATTCTGCAATTTCTTTTTTTAAAAATTTATGTTATGTGAATGAGAGTTCTGCCTACACGTATGTAAGTGTATCTGTATATGTAATGCCTGTGGAAGCCAGAATGGGGTGCCAGATACCTTGGAACTAGAGTTATTGACAGTTGTTAGCCACTACATGGGTGCTAGGAACTTAAGCTGGCCCCTGTGGATAAGCAGCCAGTACTCTTAACCACTGAACCATCTCACCAGCTCTGAATTCTGTCATTTCTAACGCCATTTAAAATGCTCTGCCAGGCCTCAGTGAGTTCAGACTTGTCCTAGGAATAAATGAATTTTACAGGCCAATTGCAAGTGAGATTCACAGCCCATATAGCCAAGCCCTATGTGAAAAGGATGGGGATAAATTTCTACTGCATGACTCAAGGCAAGAATCTACAATGAGGAAAGAAAATCCCATTTGCTCTCAAACCTGCTTCTAGGGTTTGGTTATTCATAATTTACCTGGCTCTGAGTCCAAGTTCAATGTCTAGGTACCACATGTAAATTATAGAAATTGCTTCAGCACCCCTTGTTTAGCCTTCCTGTAATTAGGAATCATCCTTGCCCTGCTGACTTTCAGGAGGAGCACTCAGAAGGAGAGAAAGATACAGCAAATACAGACTTTCCAAATGGGAGAGCATTTACCACCATCCTTCCTGCCTTTTCTGGGTCTAGCTCTAACTCTTATTCACACTTTATATTACTTTTGGATGAATTGTCTTAACAGACCAGTAGCCAGTGTACATCTATGACAGGAGGGAAAGCCAAGGCACTAAAGGGTACAACATTAGAGCAATTTATTTTTTTATCAATACGTCACTTCAAATCCACTGATTTCTATGATCATTACAAGTACGTTCATTCAGGGAGGAATCATCATTCTCTTTGCAATTTTCAGGTGAAAAGATGTATCAATGACCACATAAATGATTTTCCCAGCACCAACGTGGAGGCCACAGCAGTCCACGAATTTGACTTGATTTCTTGGTCTAATTTCGTGCGTCTTTCCCCAGTCATTCTCATTCTCATTCTGTCACATGTGAGCGGGCACCATGGTTTCAGAGCATGTGTCATTTCTTCTTGCTGTCCTTTCTCTTCTCCACCATCACAGCCTAGGGACAGCGCAGATGCGGTGGCTGGCTGGGGCGAGGGTGATGGCCATTCTGAACTTCAGGCTCAACTTCTCATTGACAGGAGGCTTGAAGGTAAATTTTTGCACAAGGGCAGTGAAGAAAATGAACAGCTCAGACCTGGCCAACTGTTCTCCAAGGCAAGCTCGCTTTCCTGCAAGATACAAACAAGATGAGTCCATCACGTGCCTCCATGGGCTGGTGTCTCCGGTACCTTTTGAATAAACTCGAGTTGACCCAGGGCTTTCTGTCTAGTTTTCTTTCTCTTTTTCTTTTTTTTTAAATTTATGACTGATATCTGCCCTAGGTCCCCAGAGTACAGAATGTGAAAGTCAAAGATCACAAGTCAAATGCATTCAGGGATCAGGGAGGTCTTGGAACAATAGAACCTAGTGCTGACTGAGAAAGTGGGTGACTATCTTTAAAAAAAAATTATTTATTTTTCTGTGTATGAGTATTATGCCTGCATGTATGTAAGGGCATCCATCTTGTGCAGTGACCACAGAGGTCAGAGAAGGTTGTTGAATCCCCTGGAACTGGAGTTATGGACAATTTAAATCACCGTGTAGGTGCTGAGATTCGAACCTGGTCTTCTGCAAGAACATCCAGTGCTCTTAACCACTGAACCATCTCTCCAGCCCAGTGGGTGACTATCTTAAATGCTTTACAATCTCACTCAAAAAAATATAAGCAACGTAGCAGGTAATGGCTCAGTATGAAAATCATGGGATGTTTTCCAGTTCTTAAAGGAATCTCCAGGGGCTGGAGAGATGGCTCAGCAGTTAAGAACACTGACTGCTCTTGTAGAGGACTCGGGTTTGATTCCCAGCACCCACATGGCAGCTATGAACCATCCTTAACTCCAGTTCCAGGGGAATCCAAAACCCTATTTGGACCTCTGCTCCTTTGCACAACACGGGTGCACTCACATACATGCAGGCAACACATTCATACACATAAAAAATAAAAATAATAAACAAAATAAAAAAAAATATATATATATATAATGTTAAAAGGAATCTCCAAAACAGAAGCAGATATAGCAGCACGTTCCTCGTTTGAAAGACATCCTTGGCCTGTGCCTTCTAATCTCCTTCAACTTGAATGACGTCAGTGACACATATGGCCTTCCATATCTGTCCTGGGAATAACTGACTTCATACATGTAAACTCTGTTTCTACTCTAAGGTTCTCCAGGCTCTCACTGTCCTTGCCTGAGGGAGCAAGCCCTTTACCCTACAGTACCCTCCCCCATAATCGCTACCACTATCCTTATGTATATTGTTGATAGCTGCTGTACTACTAAGAAATGTTCGCTAAAATAGCAATAAAAGGAAAAACATAAGAGAATATACCTTTTAGAAGTTCATAGTACAAACAAAAACTGATCATGATGACATGCAATCTCATGCTTCTCCTGGGGATTCCCCTCAGCATCTTTTTTTTTTTTTAATTAAAAGAAGCATTTCATTAGAACAGCATTAACCTATTCAATAACATTTTTCTGAGCTAGGGTACATCTCTTTCAAAATTGGCTGTACATTTCTATGTTTACAGATGAATTATTACACTTATATAATCTTTTACTCATTATAAACTCTATAAGACATAAAATTAAATGAGGTTCCAATGTTTAAAAAAGATCTCCACTTCGTTGTCAAAACACACAGTTTCATACAGAAAAATTCATTCCAGGGCTCTTGACATTGAGACGTTTTCACATGCATTTCTAATCTCTATATACATGACAATCACTGGTCACAGTCACCCACCTTCTGAGCTCCTCGCCATCTGAGCACGAAGACAAACTTGTCAGGTAGACAGCCTTCCTCTCCCACTAGAGCCTCCATACTCTGCCATCCCTGTCACTGTCCACTGTGTTGTCAGCACCCCCATCCATTGCCCCCTGTCTGCCCTCCTGGTAAATCTAGTCAGGCAGAGGTCCCTGTTCCAGGAGGATCAGCTGTTC